ATCTTTCTAATTTTTTCTCCGGTATTACATTTCGCACATTAAGCTAGAACACCCATATATATATATATATATATGTAATAAACCGCCTCATATGCTTCTACATTTTTCTTGTTGCCTTGAATTTACTTGTCGTGGTGGACATCTTTGTTGCAATCTTATCTTAATGGATAAGCACTTGTATTTGCTCCTGCCAAGCGGTCCTTGTTGCTACCATAAGCCATTTCCCATGTGCTTTTTCTACAAGGTTTTTTTTATTTTGTCCCCACCTTTTGTTTGCCACCTTGTTATGATTTTGCTTCCACGTTGACATGCTTAATTGTTAAGCATAACAATCCATGGGCGAGTAACTTTCGGAGATGACTCGCACGCAGAACTAAAAGGAAAAGGTGAAGTCATGATTAATTAGAGAAATGGAGAAAATAAATACATTTCAGATGTTTATTATGTACTTGCTTTGAAAAGCAATATCACCAGTCTTGGTCAACTCCTGGAAAAAACGATATGAAGTGCAGATGAAGAATCACTCGCTTGCCATAAAAAATAAAGAAGGAGAATTGATAGCCCAAGTTGATATGACTCGAAATCGTCTCTTTACAATTGATATCGAGTCGGGAGAAGTCAAGTGCATGAAGACCGCGATCAAAGATGATTCATGGTTATGACATCTAAGATATGGACATCTTGGATTTTCTGGATTGAATTTGTTATAAAAAACAAGTATGGTGAAAGGACTACCAAAGATCAACCTTCCAAATCAATTATGTGAGGCTTGCATTAAAAGAAAGCAACATAGACAAATCTTTGAAGTTGGTAGATCATGGTATGCCTAAAGATTGCTGGAGATAGTACACACAGATATAACGGGTCCTTTTGATATACCATCGCTTGGCGGTAACAGGTACTACCTTACTTTTATCGATGATTTTAGTAGAAAATATTGGATTTATATCTTGAAACAAAAATTGAAAGCGCTGAAAAAATTGAAAGAATTTAAAGCAATGGCAAAAAAGCAAAGTGGTCAATATATGAAGATAATCAGATCAGATAGAGGAGGCGAATATACATCAAAGTTATTTGAAGAATTCTGTAAAGAGCATGACATCATCCATTAACTAATAGTTAGATACACACCACAATAAAATGGAGTTACAGAAAGAAAGAACCTCACAATTCTTGACATGACAAGAAGCATGATAAAAAGTAAGCAACCACCAAGAAATTTCTAGGCTAAAGCAGTTCGGTGTGCAGTTTACCTATTGAATAGATGTCCAACAAAAAGTTTAAAGTATATGACGCCAAACGAAGTATGGTGTGGTCAGAAACCAGGAGTTGGACACCTCAAGATTTTTGGGTGCATCGCATATGCCCACGTTCCTGAAAAGATTAGAAAGAAGCTTGATGACAGAGGAGAAAAATGTATTTTCATTGGCTATGATGAAAGAAGCAAAGTTTACATATTATATAATCCTCTTACCAAGAAGGTAATAATTTCAAGAGATGTCGAGTTCGATGAAGTAGAATATTAGAGATGGAACAAAGAGGAAAAGAAAGTTGAAGGACTATTTTTTAATGAAGATAAAGATAAAGATGACGATCTTATAAATCAAGATGAACAAGCTGATGATCAAGGTCCTCAACAAAATGTATCATCGTCGTCAAGCAGTAGCAGCGATGCTAGCAACATAATAGAAAATTCTGAAGCACCTCCAACAGAAGTTCGAAGATCCATAAGAGAGAGAAGAATACCAAAAAGGTACAACGATTATGAATTAAATAATGTTTCACTTTTCTGCTTACTTGTAAATAGTGATCTAATAACATACGAAGAAGCAGTTGAAGATGACAAATGGAAGAAGAAATTGCATCAATAGAAAGAAATGATACATAGGAGCTAACAAGACAACCAGAAGGTCATAACCCAATTGGAGTAAAATGGGTTTACAAGACTAAGACCAATAAAGAAGGAAAGGTCAAGAAACACAAAGCGATGCTAGTTGTCAAAGGCTATAAGCAAAGACAAGGAATAGACTATGATTAAATATTTTATCCAATAGCAAGGATCGAGACCATCAGACTTCTCAGAGTAGTTGCAGCAAAAAGAATCCTGAGATATGTCAAAGGTACAACAGATCATGGTTTGTTCTACACGTGATCAGAATATTCGAAGCTGGTTGGTTATTCTGATAGTGATTATGGGGGAGACTTAGATGATTGAAAAAACACATATGTATATCTATTTCATATAAGCTCTGCTACATTTTCATTGTCATCAAAGAAGCAACAAACGGTAGCTCTTTCAACATGTGAAGCAGAATACATAGCCGCAGCAGCGTGCACTTACCATGCAATGTGGTTAAAGAATATTTTGAACGAGCTAAATTTGGCACAAGAAGAACCAACTACAATTTATGTCGACAACAAGTCTACAATTTCCCTTGCCAAGAATCTAGTCTCCTATAGCCGAAGCAATCATATCGATACAAAGTATCACTTTATACGAGAGCAGGTGAAGAACAAAAATGTGGAGCTAATTTACTGCAGAACTGAAGATCAACTAGTAGATATTTTCACAAAACCATTGAGAGCAAATATATTAAACCGACTCAAAGAAAAGCTCGGAATGGAAAATCAAGTTTGAGGGGAGTATTGGAAGTCAAACTCAACTTTGCAACAATATGTCGACAAGAATTGCATAGAAGCTACTTGAATTAACATGTGTTATGCTTAACAATTAAGCATGTCAACGTGGAAGCAAAAATCATAACAAGGTGACAAACAAAAGGTGGGGACAAAAGAAAAGAACCTTGTAGAAAAAGCACATGGGAAATGGCTTATGGTAGCAACAAGGAACGCGTGGCATGAGCAAATACAAGTGCTTATCAATTAAGATAAGATTGCAGCAAAGATGTCCACCACAACAAGCAAATTCAAGGCGGCAAGAAGAATGTAGAAGCATATGAGGCGGTTTATTACATCTATATATATATGGGTGTTTTTGCTTAATGTGTGAAATGTAATAAGAGTGAAAAAAATTAGAAAGATTTGAGAGAGCTTAGCAAAGCTATAAGGAGTTTGTAAACTAGCAGCAACTAGTATTGTAATATTGGGTAACGTCGTTGTAACGTATTTTGCTTCGTATCAATAATAATTCATGTTATAAATTATTGAGTGTCCATCTACACTTCCAACAGTCCCTAGTCACAATCCCTACTGCTACCTCCCCCGAATGAAGTCGAAAAGTTCCGTGACATTGATTTTAATGGCTCCTTCGATGGGTTTGCACCAATTTTCTTTGGAGGATCACGACAACTTATTTCTTCGGTTCCATATATTCCAGATAAGCGTGAGAAACCGAGTGAAACCATATGTCAGAGAAGGAAGCAACTTTTCGAACCATTCTTTGCAAGATTAGCCCGTCAATTCACCAGCCCTCAAATCTAAAGGATCTCCCTGATTTGAACGTAATCTTTTAGTGCATGAAGCGTAGTTTCAATGGCTTGCTTGCATATGGTGCAGAGTCTGTCACCAATATCAGCATGCAATAGTTCTCTCCTGTTAGGGGGATCATGGCAAACTCCATCCAAAGATCTTAATTTTAGGGAGAGTAAAAGCTTTTTTAACGTTCTCCAGATCTTTGAAGGGTCACGGGCGGTGCCTTTCTTCATAAGAAGCCAGTTATAACCTGACTTAACCGAGAATCGTCCTCCATTATTGTGTTCCCACAGAAGTCGATCGGTCTCCACCGAGAGATGAGGGTGTTGAGGATTTTTGTTGCATCAGCATCTTGGAAAACTGTCTTAACTTTGCTGGATTCCATTTGGTTGTCCCTCAATCATAAAAAATAACTAGGTGGCTAGTCGGGTTGTCCAAGTAGACGTGGAGAAGGCCATCGGTTGGGAGCCTCCCCAATTATCCAAATGATGCAAGCGTTCCATTGTATTAGATTGAGCAAAGAATATTAAAACCTTAGAAAAGCTTCTTGACTCTTTATTAACCAGTACATGGTTTATATATGCATAGAAACATACCTAAGCAAGTAATCTGGTGTAACAGAATGCAACAAATTAACTGCACTATAACACACAGCATTCTACACATGCAGTCGGTTACTTCAGCTATATTCTAGATGATTACTTCAACAATGTTCTAGAATTCTAGAATATTTGCTTCAATACATTGAAACCGACTCGCCAAAATAGCCTTCTCTGAGAGCCTCCTTCGCTTTCCAAAGACCATGAAAGCCCAACCTCCGTCTCTTTCGCACGGCACACATTATTCCATGCAATAAGAGCCCATCCACGAGACCCATGGCGCCCCGACCATCAAAAGCTCTCATTAGGGAGGTAATAGAATCGAGAATGCCATCCAGAAGAAGGTAGACGGCATAACATAATTCGGCGGAGCTTGTGCAACAATTTGAGAAAGATTTCTCTTCCACCGAGAGAAAGTAGATTTTTCGTCCATCCACTGATACGGTTGCTAACTTTACCTTTAATGAAATCAAAGGTATCCAATTTGCTTCCAATGGTGAGAGGAAGACCCAAATATAAGCCGGGACTATTTTTCTTGAACCCCTATAATATCTTTGATTTGTGGGCTAAAGTAGAGGAACATGCCATTCGAATTGATGATTCATACTTTAATCGTTTAAACTTTATTTATTTATTTTTTACTTGAGTCGATTTTTCGATTGAATCACGTTTTGTTCACCTTCTTATCTAAGTATCCTTTAAGGAAGGAATTTTTTTTACATTAAAGTAAAATTCACTGAATTGAAGTCCAAATATTTCCATCGTAATCTTTAGGCTAAGTTACTTTCTTGGTCAACAATGTGGCTTAGATCTGATAGAAGAAAATTTTCCTTTAGAAAGTGTTATTGAAGTGGATGTGCCTACAGTCTATTGTTTTGTTAAGTATTTATATTCTATTGTGCTTAGAACCCTACAATCATGCTGGAGATAAACGCTAAAGCATTTACTTATTTCCAATTTGTCTTTAAGCACCCAAGGTCTGAAATATCCCTTTTTAGTGAAGCGGTTAGCTTGTAAGGTCATATCAGGAGCTGCACCTGCTGGTATTCTGGACATACTTCAACCAGCTAGTTTAACTCCAGCGATGATTTCAAAGGTGAGAGCCATCCATCTCTTTTGGAACATCAATAGTGACTATTCATTTTCCCAACTGACAAGCATCTTTGGTAACCGGTTAATAGTCAATCAAAATGAATAGATTAGCTTTAAAAACTGTTGTTCTTTCATTCCAAAACAAACAAATTGCCCGTACTTTTTTCTATTTTTAGTGCTTCCTTTGGCTTCATTCTTCAATGAGATTCTTGTCTTTACTCCTTCCCAGCCATCTTAGTTTTTTTTTCTTCCAATTTCATTGTGTAAAGGACTTTTTGGGATCTCTATACCCTTTTTCTTGATCCTTACATGCTACAAAATCATTAATAGGCATCTAATAATTTTTTGTATGGTGATAATTTCAGATTGAAGAGGGATTCCATTTACTAAGAAAAGCTTTGGTGAAGTCAAATATTGGAGATGAACATACATCTTGTATCCTCCACTTATAAAAATACATGAGTTTCTTTCCCTCTGCGTATTTGTTTTCATGGTTTGATGCTAATTGTTTTCTTTGACAGAAGAAAGTCCTAACAAAACAATGGTACACTGATGTGCTTGCACGAATTCGTATCAATGCTTTTCGTATTGAATTGGCTGCAGGTGCATATGAAGATCTTCTTTCATTAGCTTCAGTCTCCATCGAAGCTGAAGCTGCAGTTGGAAACGCTATTTACATGCTTCCATCCTTTTACAACCATGATTGTTGTAAGTTTACTTGTTTCTCTACCAGTGATTATTGTTTTCTACGTGGTTCATTATACATCTTTCGCCACAATTACGAATCGAAGTTAGGATGAGCTTTGTTCTCTTTTAAGGAAAAACATATCGTCTACCGATAAGGATCCATATTTTCTTGGTGTAAGATTACTTTCTCAACCAAACCTTAATTCTCCGTTTGGAAACATGAATTTGAAAATGTTGATTTGGACTTTGTTTGCTATGTAAATGGTAAGAATGAAATACATACATTATTAAATGGTTGAGATTCAATAGGATCCAAATCGGTTTTTGAAATCGAAGTTCCAAATGCTACCTAATTGTGCTGGTTGAATTTTTATGAAATGTGCTATACATCTCTTCTAGAAAGCGGTCCGGATTCAATAACATGCTTACCAACTTGACCATCAAAATGGGCAGAAAGAGCTTGGGATAATGAATATGTAGATGCAGTCAAATAAACTGAAATGAAGCCATCTTAAAAGTTTATCAATAACAAGAAACTATCACACATGTGGTGTATCATGTATGAAACATGGCAATGCTATATTGTTGGTGTCAGAAATTGCTGATATTGAATTACGATCCAAACACACGTCGTGGATAGAGAATGCTGATACAAAACTGAAGGCGTTCCGTGACATCGATGAAGGTGTGCCTTGTACTGCTGGCTTTCCATAATCCTTTCTATCCTGGTCTTTCGAAGTTGTTTAGCTGTCTTCATTTGCTCCAAAGGACCACTTCAAAGGTATCCTGATTTTATGAATGACACGTCTTCTTGGCATCTTGTAGGTGAAGAGCTTCGGATATGTTACATCGACGTCAGTATGAGTTATGATGCTCGACAAAGTCTCTTGTCTCAAGGTTTTGGTTTCAATCCTGATTTATGAATGACACGTTCTTGGCATCTTGTAGGTGAAGAGCTTCGGATATGTTACATCGACGTCAGTATGAGTTATGATGCTCGACAAAGTCTCTTGTCTCAAGGTTTTGGTTTCAAGTGCAATTGTCTGAGATGCTTGTCTGGTGATTAAGGGGCCTATCATATTCACTCTCAAGTCAAAACTTATTCCGTGTTTGTTCTGTAAGTTTTCGAAGGATGTACTCAATTTATATGTCAATTGTTTCGACTTGGTAAGAGTTTGTGGTAAGATAATGTACTCTGTTTTTTTAGTTCTGGAAGGCTGCTTGTAAATTGTAATCTATAAGGGTTCTTTGTAGCACCTAAAAAATATGTATTTATGCAAGTTTCAAACAAAAGAAAATCATTATTCAGGTTGCTCGGACAGGAATTATCCAAACTACAGATGCTTAGACATTTGGGCGTTTTATTGGAGATGGGCTGATTTTACTGTACTGTTAAAACACAATGCAATCCAGGAACGGGGACGGATTATAAATTTTAACTATTTAGGGGCGAACTGTTTTACTTGCTCTCCTTGGTCCATCTTTTCTTGCCTGCAATAAAGTTGTGGGATAAGGTCATAGTTCTAATTAGCATGTTTATAAAGACTTAATACATTAGCGTCTATGTGTGCAGAATATTTATACCATATTGATGGCTAGATTAGCTAGAGGTTCACATTTCTTCCTAATGCAATAATATCACGAGAGAATATGAATTGAGGAAGCACCTCTAATGGCATTTTAAATACAAAAAAAGTCACAATTTAATAAAATTATTTGTTTCAATTAAAATATTTATCAATAGTATTTGAAAGGAACAACTGTATTCTTGAAAAGAAGGAATCCCTTAGAAAATAGGTGAAACTTGAATCTTATAATTCAAAACTCCATTCTTATTTTTCAATTTTATGATATTTTCTTTTATATATTATATAAAAATTAAATAAACAATACCATAATATAGAAATAAAACAATAATTTTAAATATATACCTGATCGAATAATCCCTTTTTACTATTCATATGTTATGAATATACTAACATATTTAATATTATTAGTTGTATGTTTATGAAATAAAATTAATTAATTAAATAATATAAAAGATTTTTTAAACCCCTTGCGTAAGTGAGGGACTATACTTGTATATATATACTAAATAAATTTAGACGAGTCATTATAATATAAATGAAGTTAGGTAGTTTTTTTTTCACGGCTAAATGGTTTATGTGGTAAAAGAATTGTTGTTATCCATTTCGAACTCATGTTTGAGCAACATAAATATCATGGGTGTGAACGTTCACTGTTAAAAGTTGAGAGTTATCTTCAAACAGTACTATCTTGTATTTACCCATATAAAAAATGAAATTAAGATAAATTTTGAAATTTATATTTTAGATAAAATTTAAATTTTCGAATGGGAAAATATCAATGCTATAAGTAGAACTAACATCAACCTTACCCAACCCTAGCTTTGTTTAATTCAACTCATTTTCAAATGTAATAGTTTAATTTATATATTATGTAATTGACATTAGAAATAATTAAATAATACTGCAATATAAAGATTAAAAGATAATATATATATAGATAATCTACAACATTTTTTGAGAAAAGGATAAACTACATTATTTATCACAAAACTTTACTCTCCTCTATTTCATTCATTGTACTTTCAATTTTTTCTATCCACTAACTGAACGTTCAAATTATTTCTATTTGATCACTCTGAATATTTTATTATTATTTGATATACATGACATTTATTATTATTTAATTTAAAATAATTTAAAATATAAAATTAACCCTAGACGGTGGTCGACGATGACCAGAAACGGCGGTTGTCGACACTAGTTTTCGTCCGAGTGACGATGATTATATACATATATGTTATTATATATAATAATATAATATTATAGATATTATTATTTATAAAGCCCGAAGGCCCGATTACAAGGCACACAGGCCCGATTACAAACCTGAGCCTAACTGGTTACAACCCAACTCGGGCTATGTCTAGATTTGGGTTACAATTAATTCAGGCCCAACAAACCAAGCAGGCCCAATTCCAGCAAGCCCATGAGCAAACCCACCAGAAGCTAGGGTTTCCACCAACGTTCCAGCGTCGCACATTAGCTCAACCGCACGATCAGATGGAGATCCAAGGGCCAGAAGCCATCCAGCAGAAACCCTAGGGTATCATTGCAACCCTTGGGTCTATTTTGGCCACCGCCTCTTGTTGCTCCAACCAGTACATGCCATGATGGTTGCCGCCTCTCCAGATCTCACCAAAGCACTCCAAAAGGCACTAGAAGAGGATTACCAACCACACACATTGCAACCCTAGGGTGAGTCACCACCGTAGCTCCGATGACTCACTTGGGTACTCTCTTTAATCGGTCCAAACAGAGTATCGTCAAGGGCTATATAAACCTCATCACTGCAAAGAAGAAGAAGAACAACAAAGGGAAAACAAGGAAGCAAGAAAGAAACGCAGCAACCCAATACACAACAAAATCCAAAAAAATAGAGAGAATAGAGGAGAAAATCTTACCCTCAAAGTTTTGGCCATTAACAGAAGAAAACAGCGACTTCAGAGAAGCCATTTTCGAAGGTAAACTTTGTAGATATACTTATGTAGTGTCGTTTTTGGTAGAAAACAAGGTCATATATAGCTTAGGGGGAAAAGAACTTGTAACACCCCCAACCCGTACTCGACCTGGATACGAGTCCGAGATGTCACATTACCTTTTTAAAGCATTATTCTTAACAAAATAACAAAACATTGAATTATATGAAAATAATATATAATATATATATATATATATATATATATATATATAGGTTTATACAAAGTTCACAAAATACTCAGAGCATACACAATACCGTACTCGACCTGGATACGAGTCCGAGAGGTCACATTACCTTTTAAAGCATTATTCTTAACAAAATAACAAAACATTGAATTATATTGAGAAAATACGATAATATATATTATATATATATATATATATTATTATATATAGGTTTATACAAAGTTCACAAATACTCAGAGCATACACAATTTAACATTCTATTACATGCCAACACCGATTTACAAAAAATGACATACTATTAAGTTGCTTCTGATCTGATAGTTACAGGAGTAATGTCGTCCAGCTGCTTTTCTTAACAAAATAATAAAAATTTGAATTATATTAAGAAAATACGATATATATATATATAGGTTATACAAGTTCACAAAATACTCAGAGGCATACACAATTTAACATTCTATTACATGCCAACACTGATTTACATAACAAATGACATACTATTAAGTTGCTTCTGATCTGATAGTTGTAGGAGTAATGTTGTCCAACTCCTTAACCTTGATCGTCTACTTATCAGATCCTACGTGTGAAACACTCACACGCTAAGTCATCGACTTAGTGAGGCAATAATAAACAAAAAATATAATGAAATGTCAAAATGAGATAGATTGCAATGATAATAGTATGTAAACAATGCAATAATCATAACCATATTCTTACATAGACTTATCAAATTCACATTCATAAATTCACTAGCCCGTGATACCATACTGAGAACCTAAGGTATATGAGTATTGTGAGGTTGTGCATGCTGTCACCACAGCTCGTATAAATGCACGAAGTGCCACGTAGAATTGCACCGAAGTGTCGCGTAGAATTGCACCGTAGTGCCATAAGATTAGCCCTAAGAACTACGTAGATAATTCCTAAAAATCATATACTATGGGATCAAGTATGTGTCTCAAAATACCTCACACATGTTCCAAAGAATACATATATATCCGAAAGACCGCGTAGACCCTCTACTCTTGGCATGCCAATTATACCTATAGTTCTCATCTACATAACATGGGCTTTCCCCAAATTACATATATATACACATAGACATATCATTTCCTTACTTCATCACATTGCTCATATAACTTTGCATACATATTCATTTAAAACATGTTACACAATGCACATAGTATGAATTCATATCATGCTTCACAATATGAAATGAATCATACTCAATATTGAATCTAGACTTCTCACAAGTCTAGAAACTAATTATATCATTATAATCATGTTATGTATATGCACTCATCTATATTTCCTTCTTTTCCTCGATCGATCCTACTAGGCAATTGTTCTGGAACTTGTTTAGGCTCTGTATTTACATAGTAATTCATTGACTTATCACTAATGAATATATTCTAACTATCATTTCTTAGGCTAAACGAAAAGCTATTTCATCTCTAAATAAAGGTATGCATCGATGCACTCTTAATGTGTGCATCGATGCACTACATGTGTATCGTACACAAATTACATCGATGTTTTCTTCTTAAGGATGTGCATCGATGCACTCTTTATTCATCGATGCACTAAGGTCATTCGATGTTTATTTAATTGAAAATGCATCGATGCACTCCTTATGCATCGAGCACTGAGGGCATTCGATGTTCATTAATTGAAATGCATCGATGCACTCCTTATGCATCGATGCACGACGACATTCGATGTTCAATTACTTGAGGATGCATCGATTCACATTGAATGTGTATCGATGCATTATACCCATAATTGTCATTTGAGCACAAAATCTCTTTATAATCATCTCCACACTTCATAATTCACCTCCTTTTATCCCTAACTGCATACACTTATTTAAACTAAATTATCCATTCAACACCTCTAAAACTTAAAAACCCAATCCCCATATAGAATTTAAGAATCTTACTCAAATTCCAACCTGTTCAAATTTAATTCTATCACCTGATACTTCTTAATTAGCTTTATGACAAGTCAAATCCAACTTCTAATTCTTATGAATTATATTCAAGATTTCATTCAATGGCTCTTAACCTTTAATCTCCCTAACTTACAATTCTTTGAGTATCTAAGTCCTGTTTCTCTCCAACATTTCCTAAATCTTTATTAACCAAAACCATGCTTAACTCATAAGAATTAATACAAAAGAAAACAACTCACCTTGCTTGCAAGCTTCACGGTTGAAGAAGAAGAAGAAGAAGAAATATCTAGAACATTGTTTCTCTCATTTACTTTCCACGTGGTTTATTAAATAACCTTAAGTTATATTTAATTATTTCTCTTACTAAAAGACTCATTTGCCCTCTTAATTTCCCTTCTTTGCTTATCCATCCTACATGAACCATTCTCTTATATCTTCCAACTAATCAATTTATCTACTTTGGTCACTAAATTTAAAATTTCATAATTTGATCACTAACCCGGTATGGAGGATGTTACAAATCTCCCTCCCTT